CTCATCGCCAACTCCTCGCCAGAGTTACGAATAGGCATATTTTCATTCATGCTTACCATTTTAAAGCAATATCCGAGGTCTATGATGGACATTAATTCCGTTGAACCAAAATTGGCTGTTGAAATCGTTAAAACGATTTTAAAGTATATTAACGATCTTCCGCCAAACCTTGATGAAAAGGATGTCGAATTCATAAATATAGGTCGCCAGATGATTGATGCCCTTTTGATCGGAAAAGGTTGTGGAGGGGTGGGATGTGTGCCCCACTATCAGATTATTGAAGAGGTGAGCAAGGAACACGCATATCTTTATCATTACTTGTAGTAGCAGTTTTTCAAGAGAAGTTATTGGTAACCTTTTAAAATCTATAATAGCTAGAGAATGTATACGGACAGACCGCTCAGGGAAATTTCTTGCACGTACATTGGTCGATGGAACATTTTGTCAATGAATTATCACAACGTCGTAAGCGACTCGCGTTTTTGATGATACCACCTGGTATGCCAATTCTGATATCATAAAAATATTTTTCGCCTCAAAAAATATTAAATATTAATTCGTAAAAAATATATAATTTTTTTTCCTTTATGTTAGACGCTTCCTGGCTGTTAATATCGCAATACAGGTTCATCATTTAGATCAATGTTCTTATTAAAACGAATAAAACATTAAGTTTCTTTCCTTATATGCATTTTCGATTTTACTTAGTCGGCATCATGAGTATGAGGATGTGACTAGTTTAGAAAGTCATCGATCATTTTTCTGTGATTATGTGGGTCATTTATACTGTTTTTGAAAAAATGATAATGCACAGTTTACGAACAGCTTGATCTTTCTCATAGGAATTATTTATCGAAGAAGGGCATGTCTCCACTGTTACCTCTAGATTTCGTGATATGCTATTTCAACGTGCACCAATCGAAGAGATTCGAATGCTAATGAAGGCGGAGAAATCTCGGCACTCTATTGGAACGGAACCACTGTGCAAAGCTTTCTTTTCAAAAGTACATGACATCATTATCTTCGTGCAAAAGCAGTCGGATTTTAACGAAATAATAATAGGCATTTTTTTATAACGTCAATTGTATATATGTTATCCTTTTTACTGAATTCTTTCTTTACTAATTCATTCTTAAACGCCAGACCAAATTTCGAATGAAGAAATTTTAATACCCGACAATTTGGACTTCTGGGAGTTAATTATTGAACTTGGTGATCAATTGTATGGCTTGGTGACATCTGAGTAAGTTATTCTGTTTTACTGTGTAGTTGTGATGCGGTACCTTTTGAATTTCAGTTCATTATTTAGGAATATGAAATATGAAGAAATTCTGCGCGAATTTTATCATATGGTTTATCCAAAACACGGAGGTCATTTTATTGTACACGGACACACCATTCCTAAAGATAACACGTTAATTTGGTTGTTAGTGCAACTATTTCGTATCCTTACACCGGCGAAATCAGAAAACTTTTTTATTCATGATGAATTTATGTTCCATAACTTAATGCATTTTCCAGACATTGAAAATATTCAAGAAAAAGTCATCGCAGAGGATATGAAAACTAATGAAAGTCTGTTTAGTATGCTCATTCAATTGTACAACGATTCACAGACTAGGTCCAAAGATGCCTTTTATTTGCGAGATTTATCCTTACAATGCGCAGTGAGTATATGAGAATCATACACAGATCATTAACGTTGTTCGTCATTAATAATTCATAGATATCTTTAGATAAATCTGCAGCGAATGAATATTCGTGATAGAAATAGCCTTAAACAGCGCCACCCTCAGATTGTAGCTGCGCTGCATTACATGACAACCTTTCATAGGTTACAGGAACAATCTGCAAACTATAAAAGTACACCTGTTCATTCATTTCTAAAGAAAGAGGATAATTGAGGACTCTGATGTTCACTAAAAGTTACCCAATCTCTTCCCTAGCAAACATCACAGACCATGGACTTTTCCGCGATTTGCCTATCCAGGATATGGTTAAGGTCGCTATCTGCAGTCAATGCTTTAAAAATACAATAGCCGATACAATATACGTGTATTTGGTTCCGGATCGGCGCATAGAAAGTGGGAAACTTGGATTTCCCGAAACAAAATTTTTGAAAGGTGGAAATATTAATTATAAACTTTTGGATTTCATTAATATCCATAATAAACACAGGTATTCGATTTAATTTACTATTTGTTTATTTGTTTACTTTATTTATTTTTGACTTATATTTTTTGTGGGATTAGACTTTCACAACTTATATATAAGATGATGCTTGATGGAGAAGCCTGGACAAAACTCAATACCGATCATGAGCAAAATGTGAATTGTGTGTCACCTTACCTTTTGGACGTCCTTTACAAAATTGTTTATAGTTCACCTTGGTCGTAAGTTTTATTGTTTTCAAACCTTCCAATTACTGTATCGATGAAATTTCTGAAAATTTGGTTCGACACATTCCGTCTACAGGTTGGAACTGATGGTCAAGGAAATATTAGAGAAACTGAAACGTATTGATAAGCATACCAAAAGTTTTGCCGAAGGGGGGGCTCCCTTAACCGAGACTTCTTTGCGATGGCAACATACCATTCTGCAAATCTTCAGTCACCGGTTTCTTAGGCTACTAAAATATTCTGCAAAGGCATACGAATTATTACATCATATAAAATACTCAGTATCTTATTTGGATCACCGTCAGACATATCATGACGCCGAAACATTCGTGATCCACATTATGGTATATTTCCTTGCTTCTTTCTTTCTCATTACCACTGCTTTTTGATCATATTCCCAAGTTACTTCTTTTTTTTTTCTACAGATGATTCAAAATAATTCAAAGTTCATTAAAAGTCTAATTGATCCGAGTCGTGAAAAGTCGCATTGGTTTCCAGAATCAGAACTATTGGCGAGATACGCCATCTTTACTTTGGCACGTTTGATAAAATTAAGGTAGGGTATTCTTTATTTTCTAATAAATGTTCATCAGGAAATTTGACTCTGTTATCTCAATTACGCTTATAGGGGTCGGGATGATATTCACGATATTGAAAGTATATTAACAAGCATCTATCCTCATCAAATTCATTGGTCGGTCACGACCCTTGGGTTTTTCCCTGAACCATTGGGATCTTACCTTGCTGCACAGCAATCGGGAATCGGCGCTATTCCTTCTGTGGAAAAAGACGTAAATGAGAGAAATAAATGATTATAATTGTCATGCGATTTTACGCGCAAGATTTTGAATTTCATTTCTAATATTCAAAGGTGTCTGCGTCAATGCATGTCGGAAATCTCTGCAATCTGTTCTTAGATCAAACTCTTCCTCCTGACGACGAAGAAGTGTTGAAAGAACATTTTTCTCAGATAAATAATCAACCGATATTTTTGTGCTCTTTATGGAAGATTGGATGCATGCGAAAAA